GCAGAGGGGTGCATTTTCTCTCTCTCTTTCTCTCTCTCTCTCCCTCTCTCTCTCCTTCCCTCCCCTCCCTATCTCTCTCTCAAATTAATAAGTAACAATTTTAAATGAAATGGAAAGTATGAACTTATGTAATGAAAACATCCATATATCTAACAAAATGAAACAATCATATCATAAGCATGTTTAAATTCCATTGGAACCAGATACAGGCTTTGCGACTTCTAGCATGTACAGCCAATTCTCCTGAAATATATATGGCTGTATGGAATATATGAGCGATGTTCTAATATGAACACATCATTTTATGAAGAACAGGTCCTCTCTGGTACAGTCATTCTGTTTTTCATTTATTGGCCAATTTGTTCATTCCATATTTCCCTTTTAAATGTTTTCCATTTGATGTTATTCATTATTTTTGAGATAACATTTTTAATTTACAATATAGTCAAAGGCTGAATGCTCTTTATTCCTTAAGCCAAATACCATGTGACTAAATCTGTGGCAAGGCCTAGACATTTCAACCATGATTGCCGCACTGCTCTCTAAGCACCTTAAAATTAAGTATAAGAGAAATATCACTAAACAAAGAAGTTCAGTAATGTGTTGTACAGATTAAGATGCAAAATGCTTGGGATAGAGAGGAGCCACAAACATAAATCCTGCTTGAAGTAATTAAGAAATGGTGTCCATGAGAGTGAAACCATCTTACTGGAGACAATCGAAGGAGTTAGGATAATTGTTTATGAGAACATGGAATGTGAGAGATGACAGTTAACGTGTCCCAAATTTGGAGAGGGCCTTGATACCTGGTGCAATACTTTATCTTTGGTTCTAGGAATTAGAACCAAAATCACCAGGAAAATTACAAGAAGAAGAGAAAGAGTATAAGGAAATAAGATAAAGAGCTAATATTTAAAGCATACGCACAATGTTTTAGGCTTGTGCTGGGTAAGTTGCAGTCTTTATGCTATTTAAGTTTTTTTCTATGCAGAAGTTTTCTGAGTTGTCTCTAAGTCCACAAGCAGAGTATTTGAAGAACACATGTATTTTAAAAGGTGAATTCATCAAATAATGAAGAAAGCTTTCTTTTTTTTAATTTTTTATTTAGTAAATATAAATTTTCAAAGTACAGTTAATGGATTACAATGGCTTCCCCCCCCCATAATTTCCCTCCCACTCACACCCCTCCCATCTCCCGCTCCCTCTCCCATTCCATTCACATCAAGATTCATTTTCAATTATCTTTATATACAGAAGATCAATTTAGTATATATTAAGTAAAGATTTCATCAGTTTGCACCCACACAGAAACACAAAGTGTAAAATACTGTTTCAGTACTAGTTATAGCATTACTTCACATTGGACAACACACTAAGGACAAATCCCACATGAGAAGTAAGTACACAGTGACTCCTGTTGTTGACTTAACAATTTGACACTCTTGTTTATGGCGTCAGTAATCTCCCTAGGATCTAGTCATGAGTTGCCAAGGCTATGGAAGCCTTTTGAGTTCGCCGACTTCGATCTTATTCTGACAGGGTCATAGTCCAAGTGGAAGTTCTCTCCTCCCTTCAGAGAAAGTTACTTCCTTCTTTGATGGCCCCATTCTTTCCACTGGGATCTCACTCACAGAGATCTTCCATTTAGGTGTGGTTTTGTTTTTGTTTTTTGTTTTGTTTTGTTTTTTGTTTTTTGTTTTTTTGTTTTTGTTTTTGTTTTTGTTTTTTTCCCAGAGTGTCTTGGCTTTCCATGCCTAAAATACTCTCATGGGCTCTTCAGCCAGATCTGAATGCCTTAAGGGCTGATTCTGAGGCCTTTCTTTTACAAGGGATAACTTTAGATAATTTAAACAACCACAGTTAACAGTTGGTTTAATCAATAGAAGACATTAGTAATTGTGCAAATAGAACTGTATTCATGTGAATTAAAATCATCAGTTATATTTTTAGGATAAAGAAAATTTGGGCATTCTGGTTTTTATGTTTGTTTTCAATTAGCATCAGTAAATATATAATCAGTCCTTTCAAATATCCCTATTTGGAAATTTGTATTTTCTTTTCAGAAAATTTTATAGAAGTGAAACCTCTCAACGTTGTGTAGAATTTACATCTATTTTGTGTTGTAGTCTAAATTTCTTTAGGTCCTTAATCAAATCCATTTGACACCTAGAGTATTTCTGCCAGGCAGCTTTGATATGAAAATTATTTAACCCAGATGTTTCCACCTCCCAAGTCAAACAGAGGTGGTATTTTACTAGGTCACTAGTATGAACATAGAAAGATTACAAATAAAAATACAGAAAGGAAACTAAACAGTGATATTTATTCTTGCACCCAATTGAGAGAAACTGGATTATAAACCTCAACATTTTGTAGGAAATTGGTAGTTTCATACACAAAAGAGAATTACTTTTATATCATGATATTGTATATAAACAGATAAGATCTATATCATGGTGAGCACTAAATGAAGATTTCCCCTTTCAATGGGAGACACTCAAGCACATTTTTTAGACAATTTTTTGTCATGACTTCATGATTAATTCTGTTTCACTGCAATGTCATGCTCTGTTTAGAGGTCAGGAAAGTATTTCTGAGTTGCAAAATGCTTGAAGCCATTTGCCCTACCTTACAAAATGACTGTTTATATAGGTGACAGAAATGTCAGGTGGACGTAAGTGCTTATAATCAGGGTTAACTAATGTCAGCAAGAGCAACACTGGGCAATTGATATACCTAATACCGTGAGGATTATTAAAAGTTTACCTATAGTGTGCTGGGCCAAGTCTAATCTCCAAGGCCACACTCTTTCTGATATTGAATTCAGAAGCAGAGCTTTCTAATATGTCTGTGAGAGGGTGCATTATTGACAGTGTTCATCTTAGCCAGGAGCTTGTTAATCATTTCGTAAATTCTCTGTGAAGGAAACTGGGAAAATCTTACTGCGTTAAATTTAATATATCAAGTCCTCATTTTTAGTACACTTGACAACATAAAATGAAGAGATCTGTTAACAAGTACATTTGTACTAAGGTTCCCGAAGCAGTGATTAACACTAGGAAATTCTTACCTGTGTTCTCAGAGAGAAAACTAACAAGGAGAAAAGTAGAAAGATGGAACAATTGACAGAATGTTTGTCAAGACAAAAACTACCAAAAATTTATAGTTTTAAGCTACACTTAGCTTGTTCTTCCGAAGTTCAGTTTTATTTGTGTGTGTTTATTTTCTATTTAGCATCACCTGAACAATCAAAAACAACTGAATTTTCTGTGTAATGAGTAAAGATATGTCTATCTTCAAGAACGTATTGACAAATCTTCATTATACACATCATACAAAGATCTTGGAGGCATGTTGTATTGCTTAAAGAATTTGTGTGAGGCATTTGGGAAGTTCTATTACAAAGGGGAGATGCTGGCAAGGGAACCAATATTATCTTACCCAAAGCTTAGAAGTAGAATCTCGTGTGGGCCTTGGTGCATATGGTTTCATCAATGTATTCATAAGCATTTGCAAATCATTTTTCCTGGCCTCAAAATTCAAAGTAGCAAGGATTGTGAGGGATACAACTTTGTAACTGAAATGTCACTACACAGCCATTAATTAGGATACAAATAGAAACCTCAGTTCAAAAAAGTTTTGATGTAGGGATAAACTAATGTATACATAATTTCTAAGAAACCTGGTGGATAGTATGAGATACAAGTGACTGAATTTTTTCTCTTCCCATCCTTCTCTCCAGCACACATGCAGGCACACACACATACTCACGAAGATACAAACACAGTAAATATCACGAAAACTCTAATCCATACTACAGGATTGTGTTTCCTGAATAAGTAGATTTCCAAAATAATATCAAGAAAAAATTAATTCACAGAGGAGCATCTGCTCCATTCATATTGAATCTGGAAACTCATTTGACATCTAAGATTCTTTTATTATGAGAAAGTACTTCTTTCATTGCTAAGTGTGTATCATTTCTTAATTATGTTATTCAGGATAGAATAAAGAGGATGAAGACTTTTAAAGAAGGAGGGGTTATTTTGTTCTGTTGCTCTCTAAGAAGTCACTGGGGAGACCCGATAAGATAAGGGCTGATGGATTTTGAGTTACTAATTAATAAAACCTTTATATAACTTCTGAAAGGACTTGGTTACTACAAGTTTGCATTTAGCCATAAGTAACTGTGATTTTAGATATTTTATCATTTCAATATATATTTCCTTTTGTAAGGATACTTTGAATTTCACAAATATCTCTGCCATTTTTTGTTTAATTTTGTTGTTTTGAAGATAAATTTTCAATCTATTGCCAAACAAAAAATCAAGACCTACATTTCATTATAATATATTTAGCTAGTAAGAAAATCCAAATTTTCAAAAATTTGTTTAGCATATTTTGAGAATGTAGATTTCCAAAAACAACCATCCCTAGATGGCATTTAGATAGAAACCCCTGTGTATATTTGGAATATAATTTCTTCATTCTGATTTCACTGGGAAGATATAAAATACATTAAGACATGACTATAAAATATTCATCTGAACCTCTAGTCCACTTTGGTTTCATCAGAAGACTTTCTGAGTCACTGGTCGGACTCACTTTGATTTCATCTTGATTATCCCATCAGCATTGTACATTCTGGAACTCATCAAAATTTCCATGGGATTATAACCTCTTCCTGCTTTGAACTTCACTACGGATATTTTATTTTCCTCTTTTGCATCTTTTTTGTTGTCATTTCAATCTGACTATAGTAGGAATTGCAAGAAGGAAAGATAAATCTGCTCTCTTTTTGAACCAAAAACTAACTTTAACTGTTGAAAAAAGATTGCTATTTTAATATTGAGTATTGACAGTTCAGAAGGAATTTCCTGGTAATACAGAAAACGATGCTGATCATGGTTTCTCACATCATGAATTTTTTTCATTGTAGGAGACCTGAAGAGCTTGTAGAAGGAAATGAATGAACAAGTATTTCTTTCTTGTTTTTATAGAGATTTGTTTGCTGACTAAAGGACGCCGCACAGCTAGTGTTCGAGCTGATACCTATTGTCGTCTTTATTCCCTTTCGGTGGACAATTTCAATGAGGTCCTGGAAGAATACCCTATGATGAGAAGAGCCTTTGAGACTGTTGCTATTGACCGACTAGATCGAATAGGTACTCTAATTTATTGTCTTCTTCATGCACAATTCAGTTGTAATCTAGTGAAGTAATGTATGTTTACAATCATAAGTCTCAAGTGATAGTTTATAGCTTGCTTGTTAATTTGAATAAAATAGTACTTCACTGTAGCCATATTTCTAGAAATATCTGAGGCCTTATCTATCTCTTTGAAAGATTCTGGTTTCATTTATTCATGTCTGTTTTTACTAGCTACACAATCTGATATTCCGAGTGATACCAAAACAGTTTGAATCTCAGGTAAAAAAAAAACAATGACATCATTTCTGGATAGATTTAACATAGACCTTAAAATGCAATAGCATGAGTCTACATTACAAACTAAATTTTATCACAAGGGTTTTGTGTGTTCTCTGGGTCAATTTAATATTTTATTCTTAAATTAAGTATTGAAAACTAATTTACTTAAATCAGTCTTCTCCATTAAATTGGTTTCAACAAGCAGAAACATTGCAATGTTTGTAATACAGACTCAAGCAGAAAAGGCCTTGATAGAAGTGCCTTATGTAGATATTTTACTCTGCAAACATCAGCAGTGTTTTAAGACTAGCAAATAAGAACCATACAAATTAGACTTTCTTAGTTATGCTAGCTTAAAGTTATGCATGATAGCTGTAGTACAGTTAAAAATGATTGGCTTTGCTATTAACTTCTCTAGATGTGCTGGAACATTCTGGTATGTCATGAGGTAGTATGCTTTTGTTTTCCACACCTAAGCCCTCTTCACTCACCTCAGCCTTCTCTACCCTGTTTCCCAGCTTAACACTACTCAGCCTTAGTATTTCATTTTGGGTATCACTTTCCCTGTAGACGTTTTTAACTCCCACCCTTTAGAGAGCTGATTACGCTGGATGTGTTCTCTTGTAGCCACTGAAGTTTCCCCATGACAGCAAGTGCTTTTATTTTTGTAATTGCTCTAGAGACATAGAGACCATGTCTAATTCACCATTACATTCACAGTACCCAGTACACAATGAATTTTGTTGAAAAAAGGAAGGGAGGGAGGAAGGAATTAATGAACTCAAAGGAGGTGGGGCTGGGATCGGTTAGAAGGAAACAGAGGTACTTCAGCTACTTCCTTCTTGCTGAAGGTAAGGACTTCAGACCGATGCATGATATGCCAGTTTTTTCTGCACTTCACATCTTCCTTTAGCTCTGTATAAGATAGACGTAAAGGTACTATTTGGATGTTATCATTAGAGATAAGATATTAGATACTCACTTAACATTCCAGATATTTAACTGGACTTAAGCATCCAAGGAGATGGTGCCCATAAAGAAGTATGGTACTCGGGGACTCTCAAAAACATCGTTACTTGAAAATAACTACGTTTTGTGATATAAGAATAAATGTTCCTGTATATGAGACAGACTAATTTCTGAGCAGTTGAATTGTTCCTAAAGCAGCTGGACATTTTTATCAAGTTTTAGAAACAGGGTATTTCAATAGAGAATTTCTGTTATTTTTATACAGCTTCACTTTCAGCTGCCTTATTGAATTGAATTGTTTTATAGGAAAGTTTGCCTTAAATGTTTGACAGATACTCAAGAAATTCATTAGTAAGCACCAAGCATTTTTGCTTTTGATCTTTATAAAATCATAACTGTGTATGTTTTACATACTTAGATTATTAAATTTTGATCACTCACGCAATCTTTACCTTTCTCAATTTTATGGCTATTCGTAATAAATGTAGCTAGTTGAGGGAATGCTGAATAAGCATTTGTATCTATTACTAACAGAAGAGTTTTGGTACTGTGAGAAATTAGAACAGTTTGCAGCCATTTAAAATGATTGCATGCACTCTAGCAAATCACATATTTCCACTTCAGAAATACATTTTTACCTTAGATTTGATACTTTATTAGAGGTTTGACAAATTGATTCACTTTGCAGTTACTATATTAGCTTGGGTTTTATTGGATCAATGATGTAATTGAAAAGCCACTGCCTTTCCCTTCATATTTTAATCAACTATTGATTCTCATTGTTATTCTACCAGTAAGTGGCTGGTTATTGAAAATCCCTCCAAAGAAGATGGCAGGAAGCAGAGCTAATGCTTATTGAGGTCCTGGGGTGAACTGAGAGCCTGCCATGCAGTGTGCCCTTGGCTCTCTTAACAGCTCTCATAAAAGGAATGGTCATGACATGGTTCTCAATCTGGCTGCACATAAAGCAGCAAAATCTGGATTCCATGTCTGGTTATTCATGTTTAATTGGTAGGGGATAATTGGGCATTAGTGTTCTTTAAAGCTCCAGTGATGGGTCAGAGTTGTGGAATAGCAAGTTCAGCCGTTCCCTGTGACACTGGCATCCTATATGGGCTCCATCCTATATGGGCTCCAGTTTGTGTCCTGGGTGCTCCACACCCTGCTAATGGGCCTGCAAAAGCAGCAGCAGATGGCCCGAGAAATTGCACCAAGGTGGGAGACCTGGAAGAAGCTTCTGGCTGTTGTGGCCATTTGGGGACTGAACCAGCAGACGGAATATCTCTCTCTGTCTCTCCCTCTCCCTTTCTTACTCTGCCTTTCAAATAGATAAATAAATCTTTAAAACAATAAAGCTCCAGTGATGAGAAAAATATGTAGCTAAGACTGAGAACCACCGGCATAGGGCAAAGATCAAAGCCAAGGTCACAGTGCTCTTAAAGCTTGTGCGTGTGATTCGTCTGGGATCTTAGTAGAATGCAGCATCTCATTCGGCAAAAGAGAGTGAAGCCCGAGAAACTCAATTTCTTTATTTTAAAAAAATTAGTTAATTATGTATTTATTTATTTATTTGCGAGAGTGAGAGAGAGAGATAGAGAGAGAGGAGAGAGAGGTAGAGAGAGAGAGATCTTCCATCCAGTGGTACACTCCCCAAATGCCAACAATGGCTAGGGCTGGGTCAGCCCGAAGTCAGGAGCCAGGAACTACATCCAGCTCATCCAGGTTTGCTGGATGACAGGAAATAAAGTATCTGGGTCATCATCTGCTGACTCCCAAGCACATTAGCAGGAAGTTGAATTGGAAGTATAGAGTAACTGGGACTTAAACCAGGCACTCCCACTTGGGATGTGCGCATCTCAAGTGGTGGTGTAACCCAGTGGACCACATCTACCCAAGAGACTGAATTTCTGTTAAGCACCCAGGTAGTGCAGAATGCAGCAGGTCTGTTCCTGTAGCAGGGATGTATGATCAGATTTCTCTTTTGCTCTTCTCCATCCTGTAAGCTATTAAGCATGTTTTCGGTTTTTAATCTCCATATCCTTGTCTTCTTTCCATTAAATTGGTATTCCAGACACATGTATGTCACAGGATTGGGCACTAAATAAAATAATCTACGGACAGTTGTTTGTAGTGTGACTGCCACATAGCTGTCCATTCTCCATTGTCCTGTCTTGAAAAAGGAACTTCAAATTCAAATCCTGATTCTAGGAGCCCTATGGTAAATATCAGTATTTGTTCTGCCAGTTGGCATTTGCCACATTCCAGGCTTTCAGCTTGTCTTGGGTAGTAAGAAAGGTTTTCCAGAGAGACACAGAAAGCAGCAGCGGTGAGAGCCACATTGCTAGTTGGAGTCTGAAGGAGAGTACTTGGCTTTGATGCCTCTTCCCTGAAACGCTGACCTGCTTCCCTTTGCAGGAACCACTGTGGCTCCGTGTTGTTTTCAATCACGCGTAGGCTTTCTAAATGATGATCTTTGTTTCGCTGACAGGAAAGAAAAACTCCATTCTTCTGCAAAAGTTCCAGAAGGATCTGAACACTGGTGTTTTTAACAACCAGGAGAATGAGATCCTGAAGCAGATTGTGAAACATGACAGGGAGATGGTGCAGGCGATCGCTCCCATCAGTTATCCTCAAATGACAGCCCTGAATTCCACCTCGTCCACTGCTACCCCGACCTCACGCATGAGGACCCAGTCTCCACCGGTGTACACAGCAACCAGCCTGTCTCACAGCAACCTGCACTCCCCCAGCCCCAGCACTCAGACCCCCCAGCCTTCTGCCATCCTCTCGCCCTGCTCCTACACCACTGCGGTCTGCAGTCCTCCTGTACAGAGCCCGCTGGCCACTCGAACTTTCCACTACGCCTCCCCCACTGCCTCCCAGTTGTCACTCATGCCTCAGCAGCAGCAGCAGCCCCAGGCACCTCAGACTCAGCCGCAGCAGCCGCCCCAGCAGCCGCAGACGCCCGGCAGCGCCACGCCGAAGAACGAAGTGCACCGGAGCACGCAGGCGCTTCCTAACACCAGCCTGACCCGGGAGGTCAGGCCCCTGTCCGCCTCGCAGCCTTCGCTGCCGCACGAGGTTTCCACTCTGATTTCCAGACCTCATCCCACTGTGGGCGAGTCCCTGGCCTCCATCCCCCAGCCCGTGGCAGCTGTCCACAGCGCGGGCCTCCAGGCAGCGGGCAGGAGCACTGTCCCTCAGCGAGTCACCCTGTTTCGACAGATGTCCTCCGGAGCCATTCCCCCCAACCGAGGAGTGCCTCCGGCACCCCCTCCACCAGCAGCCCCTCTTCAGAGAGAGGCTTCCTCAGTCTTAAACACAGACCCGGAGGCAGAAAAGCCACGATTTGCTTCGAATTTATGATCCCTGCTAATTGTTGAAGCAGAAAGAAATACTCCAATAAACTGAGAACATTCTCAGATCTTATTTTATTCTATCTCCTGATAGATCCCCATAACTATGAAGAGATATTTTAGACAGCTCTGTCCTACTTGCAAAATGTAAAAAAAATAAATATATATATACTATATACTATTAAATAGATATCTAAATTCCCAAGAGAAGTTCAAAAGACCTGTTTAGCATTCAGTGTTATATGTCTTCTTTTCTTTAAACCATTAAAGGATTTAAAAAGTTGTTGTAAGATTATTTATTTCTAACCTACTTTTACTTGATTCCTTTGATACATGTATTTATCTATTTTATGAAGAGTTCTTGGATTCAATGGAAACAAAACTCTAATTTTAAAAAGGCAACTCAAAGGGGCTACTGAACAGCACCAATTATAACCTTCTTTCATTAGCTGCGAGTCTGCCTCTAAATTGTTAATCATTGATTATGGAGGATTAGATAGCAAATCTCATTTTGTAGATCTAAATTGTATTTTGGTGCTTTCAATTTTGAATTCGGTAAAGAATCCACTGCATACTTAGCCCCCATAAGAAACTAGCATTGCCACAGTGAAGAAAATCTCTAACCTCAATCATGCGCACTCATCTTTCCGAAAGCTGAAGGGATATTTGTCTTTGTGTGTTTTTGGACTTTTACCAAGACTCAATCAATGTTAGTTGTAAATAAGTTTTTCAACCCAAGTAAAACTAGCTATTCTGTGTTGTATGAAGGTAAAAGTCATTGTTTAAGAATTTAGTTTTATTGCTTCACTTCAAAACTTAGAGTTTTAAATTTTACAAAACCTGTGACAATTACTCAATTGTAATGCAATAGCTTGAAATCTACAATATTATTTTAATCTGCGATGTTTTATGCAAAATTGTATGCTTGAATCTACAAATTGCTTGTATTACACCAAACACCATTACTTTTCTTCCTTCTTGCCATAATCAAGCATCTGAAAATAGTACCTGCATGCTTTGGGGGAAAAATAGGTTCAAATCAGTCATTGTAAGGAAAGGCTTACAGTATTTCTTGTTTTTTAGAGAAGTATAACAATTCATTAATTAAAATTAATTATTTAATTAATTAAAATCCTTATAAGGCTGACTTGGCTCTCTGACTTAAGTCTAGAAGTGAGGTCTTCACGTTCATTTAATATTATCATTGAAACAATTATTTGTGAACCACAGCTTGATTTGGAGTTGTGTGTTCTGTGTCTTCACCATAGTTTGTAGTTCACAATGGTGTTAATTTAAGGAAATAAATAAATTTTAGCATCATGTCTGTTTGGGAAACACACATTTTGCTCTATGTATATTGTAACTAAATGGTTAGTAAATCTTAAGGCATGTGGTGACTAACATAGACCTTAGGTAGAAGGTTTGTTATTTTAAATGTGCTGAAAATAGTACGAACATCATAACAGAAAGAAGGGATAAGTTGAATGTCTGTGAGCATTGTTTGTTTGTTCGTTTGTTTGTTTCCTTAACTCTTTCCATGACCTGTGAGCATCGTCTTCTCAAAGAAGTCCCTTAGTAATCGTCTGTGCCTAATGCATCCCACAGATGTGGTGGATGACTGGAATACAATTGGAAGAATCCTAGCGACCGACTTCTGTAAATAAGCCAGGTTAAGAGAATGACCTAACGTGGAGGTCTTCAGTATCTTTGACACTGGCAACACATTTAAGAAGAACTTAACAAAGATCACACACTGTATGGGACAGGGCCTCCAAATAGACTTGAGGATAAGAAACAAAAACAAAAGCAAAAACTCTAAGTGGATCTATGCTGCCTGTTATGCCTTTTATGGATATAATACCTATAATACCAAAATGAGTTGTTATGTTTAATTTCTAACAGATCCCAACTTGTGTGGAAGTAATCAACAATGCTAGTCAATGTGATGTTATCATTAACATGCTTGTGAAATGTGATGGCAGGTCAGGATTTTGTGAGTACCTATGGGAAAGCTGCAAGACCATCTACATATCAGTACAAAACTTCTTTATTTTATTAAAATATGAAATCAAATGCAATTTATTAAGATCATGTATTGGGTCCTTTAAATTATTAAAGGTTTACATTTGATAGGATTAATGGGTTTGGTAGTGAAATATTTTTATATATAAATTTTTGGTTTTTTATTTTGAGCACTATTGGGAAACATAAGCAAAATTGAATTGCATGGTCTTTCAGTGCAACCATACAATTTTTATTCACTTTGTAATAGAATGGACAAAAAAACCTAAGGTTTATACATTAAAATAATAAAATGGTACAGGGTAAATTATATACATATGTTTATGAATGTATATATAATTAGGTTAAGAAAAAATTGACTCACATTCCTGTAATATAAGGGTCCATTGCTAGTTGAAAAGTTATCTCTTTTCTCTGTACATAATCAAGCCCTTATGTATGAAGTTTTAATCTGTACAGAAAGAAATGTATTATTGAAAAGATTGGTCTTTCTGCTGCTGAGAAGATAGTAGAAAAGCTGATTCTTACAACTGTATGATCAGGGATGAGTTAGAGTATTTCTTTTGTCTTTGCTCAAAGCCATACATATATAAATATATATAAAGATTATTAATAAATTCAACAGAAAATAAACTAAAATCATGAATATTTATTTTTTCAATATACTCTAAACAAAGGTTTTATTTTATTAATGTGTACAGATTTGCCTCTGTCTTTCTCCATATCAACATTTCCAAGAAGGCTCATACTTGAGAATCATCAAAAAATTAATTGTAGATATTCTATATTACTGTAGAAAGAGAGGAATATCAATAGAATGTGGATTTTCCAACCATTCCTTTTTTTCATCTTTTCCTTATAGTAACATTGAGTGCATTTTATTCTTTGCTCTGTACCTCCTTAGTATATGGTAGTTATGCTGTTTCAAAATGGTCATCAATGTGATATTGTTGGAATGATAATGAGAAATAATTGTGTTATAATGGGCTATGCAAAGGCTTTTGGTTAATGATAGACTCTCCCATATGAGTAGATTTTGGATCAGTTCTAAAAGCCTGAGATGAATGGAGACTATTAGTGATGCATTCCTGAAAACAATCAGGATAAATGGTAGGAGTGGCAGTAGATTCTGTTCACTTGAAAAATAGTCTTTGTCCAGGTCTACATGACCTTTTCATAAATGAATGATTTCCTTGTGAATTCTGTTCTTTTAAAAGATAGCTACTTTGAGTTTACAGACATAATTAAGCATACTATTTTCAGGACAGTACAAAGTACGACTCAAGTTAAAATAATTCCTATAAGAAGTCAGTGATTTAAACAATATGACATGTTTAAAATTAGGAGTTGAAATATTTCAAAATCTGGATTATTTACACTTCAAAATATAGGCAAATATCTTTTATCTTTCAGGAGTTCTAAAAAATCTCCACACCTTCTTTATGTGCTTCTGTTTTTATATTTGCTGATTATACTCTTATGGACCTCAGTTTCAACAATCATATTAAGTTGCTTAGACCAGATTTTTTTCTCTTAAGCCTCTGTTAATTTTAGAGCATAAGCAATAAACCCAAATGTGTCTGTTTTGTTTATATGCAGTACACCTAACGAGCTTTTATTACAAGTTCAGTTACTTTAAACAGTCACTCATGCAGTACCATGCAAAAGAATCATAATCCCTCTAGAATCATTGAATGCTGAGGTATTTTGAGATCTGAAAAGAATGCTCAAAATTTTTAGGAAGTTTGCATCTACCAAATTGCGGTTCAGTTCGTTACATTTATTCAATATGTCCTGTTCATGGGGATTTTCTTCCAAGGATTTGCTGTTGCATTGAAAGTGAACCATGCCAGCTTCCACCAGTCAAAAACAGTGCATTTCTTAAGCATTTAAAATCTTTCCTTTCTAATAAATGACACCACATTTTTATGACAGAGAAACTATTAAGTTGATCTTGAAGACACCCCCCTACACACACACACACACACACGCACATGCACTTTTGAGAGGAACGAAGGAAGTACTACCTTGCCTAGGCACAGCGGATGCAGTGGCAAGTGTAGCCACAGTACCTGTTCTGCTTTTCTTCTCCTTTTGAAATTTTACCCCCAGGCTTCCTTCCTTCCATCCTCCCTCAGCAACTGATATTTCTATTAGCAATTGTCATGCTGTCCTTTCCTAGTTTCTCCTTAGCTTCAGGCTGTGAAAAGTGTAATCTCCTCTATGTCAGATAAACGCTGTGGCATAGTCACAAATCTTGCCAGGAAAAAACTCATTGCCTACAAGAAAATATTAGTAAATTTGGCCACCCTCTCAATGATATCATGCCCCTTTCCTCAGGCTGAAAGGTCTTCTCTCTGATACTACATAAAAGTTTATCTCCCTAGAAGTCCAGAAAAAGAGTAACATGAGGAGCCAATTGCCTCATTTATGTATCTTGAGTTGTTAAAAATCAATAAAAAATACTTTAAAACTGAAAATTAATGTAAAAATGATGAGGCAAATTAAGGCAGTTCCAACTCTGCTTTTACAGGGCCCTGATTCTCTTGCTCACTCTAATCCCAGCCCTGTTCCTGTTCAGGTTTTGACAGGAGCAGACAAAGATTGGAAGGGGTTTTTGAGACAGAAACCTTGCTGATATTTGCCCTATTCTACCTTCAGAACTATGTAATGATAATATGAAAAGATCCAAGAAATGAGGCCCTCAATTTATTTCCAAGGTCCTTAGTGTAGAGAAGAGAAATCAATGTGTTAAATGGTAAGAAAAGAATTCCTCCTCAAGGACTTTTATTATCTCCTTAAAATTATGGGCACCAGATTATGAACCTGGAGGATGCCTGTTGAAATACATCTGTATTGTTACTATGATAGGGAATAAAATAATTCGGACAGAACAAAAGTTGGGGGTTATTTACAATCCTACATTGCCTGGTGAAGATGCTGGACCGGGAAAAAAAATCCTAGATTTGCTGAATAGGGTAATGGAAATAGGAAACAGAGTTTACCTGCTTTGTATGAAATAAGGAATATTGTGTCAGGGAAAGAATATGAGAAAGTAAGAGCTACAAACTGTAAGATAGGAGAAGAGTGATGAAATAGTGTTGAATAAAGGAAGGGACTTCCCAAAATCATACTGGAGGCTCCACATTGCAAAATGATCAAAGACGGACGCTCCTTGGACCTGTTTTTTTTTCTACTGGATCGTCAATGGCCATTTACACTCAAATGGAAATTATTTTTATTTTGTTTAGTTGTAACTGTTTCAATAATAATACTCAAGCAGAGATTGCCATTATTGATTTGAGTGAACATACCTGATTAGGAGACATTTTCCAAAAGGTAAGAACTATTATATTGCAATAAGATTTATATAATTGAATGCAATTAACTTAAAAATTTTCAGATTTTTTGTTTTGGAAATAATAAAGGACTTTAATAAATCATTGTAGTTTTACTAAACTAATAACAGTTTTCTATAGATAAAATACAGATTTCAAGAATCAATGAAATTTTCTTGAAATGTTTTTAGTTCCTATTAAATTTTTGAAGGAATAGGAAATTTACTTTTTTTTTTTTTTTTTTTTTTGACAGGCAGAGTGGACAGTGAGAGAGAGAGACAGAGACAGAGAGAAAGGTTTCCTTTGCCGTTGGTTCACCCTCCAATGGCCGCCGCGGCCGGCACGCTGCGGCCGGCGCACCGCACTGATCCGATGGCAGGAGCCAGGTACTTCTCCTGGTCTCCCATGGGTGCAGGGCCCAAGCACCTGGGCCATCTTCCACTGCACTCCCGGGCCACAGCAGAGAGCTGGCCTGGAAGAGGGGCAACCGGGACAGAATCCGGCGCCCCGACCGGGACTAGAACCCGGTGTGCTGGTGCCGCAAGGCGGAGGATTAGCCTAGTGAGCTGCGGTGCCAGCCCGAAATTTACTTTTTTAAAAAGATTTTTGGCCAATGCCACTGCTCATTAGGCTAATCCTCCTCCTGCAGCGCCGGCACACCGGGTTCTAGTCCCGGTCAGGGCACCAGATTCTGTCCCGATTGCTCCTCTTCCAGTCCAGCTCTCTGCTGTGGCCCGGGAAGGAAGTAGAGGATGGCCCAAGTGCTTGGCCCTGCACCCGCATGGGAGACCAGGAGGAAGCACCTGGCTCCTGCCTTCGGATCGGCGCAGCACGCTGGCCGCAATACACCGGCTATAGCAGCCAGTTGGGGGGTGAACCAACGGAAAAAGGAAGACCTTTCTCTCTGTCTCTCTCTCACTGTCTAACTCTGCCTGTAAAAAACAAAACAAAACAAAACAAAAAAAAAAGATTTTTATTTTTATTTATTTATTTGAAAGGCAGAGTTAAAAAGAGGCAGACACAGAGACAGAGAGAGATACAGGTCTTCCATCCACTGATTCACTCCCCAAATGGCCACAACAGCCAGAACCTGGCCGATCTGAAGCCAGGAGCCAGAAGCTTCTGGATCTCCCATGTGGGTGCAGGAGCCTAAGGACTTGGGCCATCTTCCACTGTTTGCCCAGGCCATAGTAGTGAGCTGGGTCAGGACTGGAACCAGTGTGCATATGGGATGCTGGTACTTCAGGCTGCAGCCCTACCAGCCAATTCACAGTGCTGGCCCTGGGAAATTTACTTTTGAAGGAAGAAGGAACACACTGAAAGATGTTTGAAAGATTAAAAATGAATTTGATAAATATATTTTCATTTTCTCCTTGCAATGTATTTGTTCAACGCTTAGCTTCCACCATCTAAAAATTAAAAAGTCGTTTGCCCTACCCCTCTATTACCCACCTTACATACTGCAATTCTATTGAAAAGATGCTAGTCTGAATAGTTCAAAGTATTATATTCTGATAGCTAACATAATCGATAATTATGAGAAAACATATAAAACTTAACAGGCAAAATGCTTGCTTACATTATATATCTGTAGCATACACATTCCATGTATCTCCATACCAAGGATTAAATATGGAAAAGCTCTATTGGCTGGTAAGCAGTGAAGGAAAGAATCAACTGATTGTCATTCTTCTAGTAATCATCTAAAAATACTAAAACATATTCCAAAGATGCCAGCATAAATCAAAATAGGTTTAATGTCTCAATTCAGAAAAATGTCAAGTTGGCATAGTATTCTCAAAAGTGATTTATCTTTCCTTGATAAGAGTCAAGATTTAAGGAGTCAGCCAAAACTGTGCAGGTGTATTTCCTTAAATTGGTAAGAGGTTGCCTTTAGCACTACTGTGTTCAAAAACAAAATCTGGTAACTTTTGTGTGTGACTCATAAACCAATTCTGAAGGCCTTCTAGAAACATTCCAAATATACATTATATAATATATATTGCCACCTCTAAAGATATAAACATCTGTGATGTTTAGTCATAATAGTTCAATTACTTTGCAGCTGAAAATACACTAAATTATTTTTACTCATAAAAAACAATCAAATCCATTTGGGCTACTTGTAAAGCTCTTTACACAGGGCATTCCAAATTTCTATGAGTCAATGACATTGATTGCAATCTCTCCATATTTGAAATGTAAACTTTCAGATAATGACTTATTAAATTATTGTTAATTACTCCTCCAAGCTATAAATGCTGGCATGTTTTGATTTTTAAGCTACCTTGTTAAAACAAT